ACCCACAAATAAAATGCCTCCTCCTTCTCCTTTGTTACCACTGTTTGACCCAGATCCATCTAAACCTCCTTCTGACTCTAGTCAAGAAGAAAGTGATTCTACCAGCTCTGATATTGACAATGAGGAACCACAAACTAAAGAAAAAACAGGAGCTACCTTCTTTACTCGGAGGTACAACCCCCTAGAACTCAAAGAGTTAAAAGACTTAAAAGCAGCAGTAACAGATTATGGCCCTATAGCACCCTTTACCCTGGCCATGCTAGAAAATCTTAGTGATCGATGGCTCACACCAAATGATTGGTTTTCTTTAACTCGAGCTGTCTTGTCAGGTGGAGATTATGTCCTTTGGCGTACAGAGTTTGTAGAAAATTGCCGAGAAACAGCACAACATAATAATGAAAGTAAAAATTCACGCTCTTGGACCAGAGACAAGCTCCTCGGTCGTAGTCCTTATGACACCAATGAAGCACAGGCAGCCTTTCCCCCTGGGCTCCTGGCGCAGATACAAAAAGCAGCACTCAAAGCCTGGCGGCACCTCCCCCCAAAGAGGTCCGCCACCTCCTTTCTGGCAAAGATCCGCCAGGGCCCGGATGAGTCATATGCTGAGTTCATCAGCCGCTTAACTAACCTTAACCAAAACCCAACCATCTAAGCCCTGCTTTAACTGCAAGCAACCTGCACATTTTGCTAGGGAGTGTCCTACAGGACCCTTGCCTCGCAAACCTCCAACAACTATCTGCCCTCGCTGCAAGCGAGGATACCATTGGGCCAATGAATGCCGCTCTAAAACAGATCATGAAGCCAAAATCATTCCACCCAGGTCGGGAAACTTCCAGCGGGGCCAGCCCCTGGCCCCTTCCAGGGAATTGAACCAAGGGGCCCTAAGGTTCAACCCTCAAACACAAAACAGAATGACAGCTCCCTCCTCTGAACAGCCTCAGGAAGCACAGGACTGGACCTCTGTGCCTCCACCACTACAGTACTGACCCCAGAACAAGGCTTTCAGCTTATATCCACCAGCACTCACGGGCCCCTTCCTCCAAAAATGTTTGGCCTTGTCATAGGCAGGGGCAGTGATCTCTTCACTGGTCTACAAATAGCCCCAGGAATAATTGATAATAAGTATAATTCTCTGTGTTGCTTTCCAACATAAATATTTTGGGATTCCCCAACAGAGATTCAGACAATATAATTGTGAACCAAACTAAAGTGCTTTGTTCTGCTTAGCTTGGCTTGGAAGGGTGTGGAAGCAGCAGGTAAACACCAAGGTAAACATACCTTGGAAGGTTTTGTTGTTATCCTTAGATCTCTAGGAAGGACAGGACTGGGATGGGAGGCTCAGAGGAAAGTACTGGCTGGGCATTTCTGTGGTTGGGCCTGAGAAATTTTCTCCAGTGAAATTCTAAAAATCAACCTTGAATTTGGACACCCTCTTCACCCTTTTCTATGTTGTTCCTTTAAGATTAATCTCTGTCTCTGTAGCCTTGTCTCCATGGGAGATAGGGAAACTGTCTCTCTTTAGGACAGATTCATTGGGAGAGTGTTGGGAGCCAAAAGGCCGGAAGAAAAACCTGGCCTCCCTTCTCCTGTTGCCATCCCTTCAGGATATTTTAAAATTATTGTAGATCTCAAAGACTGCTTCTTCACTATTCCTCTTCACCCCTCTGATCGAGAACGCTTCGCATTTAGCCTACCTGCTATTAATTTTAAAGGACCAATGCAACATTATCAATGGAAAGTCCTTCCACAAGGCATGACTCATAGTCCTACCTTATGTCAGAAGTTTGTTGCGCAAGCTGTAGACCCCCTTCGTTCTTAATGGCCTAATATTTATATAATTCACTATGTGGATGATATTTTGTTAGCAGGAGCCATTGCTTCCCAAGTAATTCAATGCAGCCAAGCCCTCACAAAACAACTTACTCTTTTTGGCTTACAAATAGCACCAAATAAAATACAACTAAAAGAACCCTACTTCTATCTAGGTTTTGAACTCCATAATAATTTCATAAAAACTCAAAAAATTCAATTAAAAACCTCCCAATTAAAAACATTAAACGATTTTCAAAAGTTTCTAGGAGATATAAATCGGCTCAGACCCTATCTTAAACTTACTACCGGTACACTGAAACCCCTCTTTGATATCTTACGGGGCAGCCCTGATCCTCTATCCCCAAGAGCCCTAACACCAGCTGCCCAAGAGGCTCTCCACCTAGTGGAAGATGCAATTCAACAACAACAAATTACCCATCTAACATACAATAAACCTTTTTCCTTAATAATATGCCCTACCCCTCATATGCCTACCAGAGTATTATGTCAGGATGACCCTTTGCTTTGGATAATTTGCCTGCTTCCCCCCTCAAGCTCCTTTCTACATATCCTCTCTTGGTTATTAAACTAATACAAATAAGAAGAGAAAAGAGCTGGCAATACTTTGGCAAGGATCCAGATCATCTCGTAATTCCTTACACAAAGGACCAGTTAGATTGGCTCATTAAAACTGAAGATGATTGGATTATTACACTTGCCTCATTTCAAGGAAAAATTGATAATCATTACCCCCCTCACAAAATTCTACAATTTGCTCGATTGCACCCCTTTGTGTTTCCCATAGTTACATCCACTAAACCTCTTAGAGACGCTTTATTAGTTTTTACAGATGGCTGCTCTAATGGTATGGCCACCTATACAGTAAATAATCAAGAATTTACTAAATTATCTCCTTTTAAATCTGCTTAACTCATAGAACTATATGCTCTTACACAAGTTTTCCATAAATTTCCTCAATCCCCCTTTAATTTAAATACTGATAGTGCTTATATAGCCTCTTCCATACCTTTATTAGAAACAGTTCCCTATATAAAACCCTCTACCAATGCTGTTCCCCTTTTCTCAAAACTCCAAAGCTTAATAGTTCAAAGAAAGGCCCCCTTTTTTATTGGACATCTTAGAGCTCATACCGATCTTCCAGGGCCGTTAGCCCAAGGAAATGCCCTTACAGATAAAAACACCCAATTATTATTTACTATTTGTGCTGACCCCATTAATGAGGCCCGACAGGCCCACTCTATCCACCATCTAAATGCTAATACTCTATGCCTCATGTTTAAAATTACCAGAGAGCAGGCCCGCCAAATTGTTAAGGAATGCCCTGGGTGTGTCACCTTACTTCCAGTTCCCCATTTAGGAGTCAATCCCCGAGGCTTACTGCCCAATGATATATGGCAAATGGACGTTACCCACGTCCCCGACTTTGGCAAACTCAAATATGTTCATGTAATCATTGACACTTTTAGTGGATTTATATTTGCTACTCCACAGCCTGGAGAAGCTTCTAAAAATGTAATAGCCCACATGCTACAATGTTTCTCCACACTAGGCAAGCCCAAAAAGCTAAAAACAATCGGCCAGGATATACTTCCCAGGCCTTTCAAACTTTTTGCCGCCAATTACAAATCAC